GAACAGAAAAGTGGAAATAAAGAATTTTTTAAAAATTTTATTTATAGGTAAGAAATTAGTTTATTTAAAAAAAAATTAATATTTAATCAAAATATAAAAATCTATAAGTCAAAACCTAACTTGTTGAATCTACAAATTTTAGCACCATCCATCTCAATATTATTAACATAGCTAAATAATGCTTTCATATTGTTAACTATTTTAAACAAAAAAATTTCAAAATTTTCAGGTTATTAACTGTCGTGCAATAGTGCACTTATGGGGTCTTTTGGTCAGTTTCCACTTAGGTTTTGCACTTACTTGGCACTGACGTATCGTACCAAGTCTTCCACCAATATTACTACGATGTTGACCACACAGTTTTTCCTCTAGAACGTTTTTTACTAAGCTAAAACTTATTATTTATTATTAGAGATTGCTAAATTTAAATACAAGATTATCTCCGGATATATTATTATCTGGGTTACACATATTATGCAATTCTGCAATTAGACTTTAAATTAATTTCATGCATCAACGATCACACCATCAACATTACCCAGTCACGATCGGGTGACCCGTGATCATACCTAACTCTAGCAATACCGATACAAGGGTGTTGGTCATCACCATGACAGGAGCTAGATCCCCAGGAACTTCGTCCCAAAGTTGCAACCCATGCAAAACAATTTTCCAACACACATCCAATTGCAATACCCAACATTACTAACAACCTATATACTAATACAATATATCGTTCAATTAACACATACACTAACACAAAATTTTTTATTTTTATTTTTTTTCACTAACATTTCATACACAATGCATGTCAATTCGATTTCCAAATATCACATGCTCCATACCATCGCAGCTGATCATATAATCCAAGTAAAGACGCTTGAGAAATCCAACTTTCTTGACATAATCCAACACCTTCAACATTGAAGTTGGATTCCCATTACAAGGTCTTTGGGCTTTAGGCGTGCCGCTTCTATCCCATTCGCGTTTGACATCACAATGGAACCTAGACAACAATTCATAATTCAAGCCTTTCCTTACTTTCATACTATCATTTTGGGACCTGAATATTAATGGCAGCTCTTTTACACCATTTGGTTCAATCTTATGTGCGTCTTCTTCCATATCAATACCTTTTCGACAACATCGTCCAGGCTTACATTGTTTAATCGAATCGCAGCTCTCAACGAGTTTAGATACCATTCAAGCACCTTTCATCCATCTTCAGCAGACTTCTTACTACCGGTTTCATCTTTGTGACAATACTCAGATTTACATATTCTATTTCTCATTTCTGAGCTTCGCTCATATACAGGACCAACCTTAGTTCCATTATCCGAACCAGATCCCCTTGTTTTATTTACATCGGCAGCCTTAAGATAATACATGAATGCTTTGTATTTATCAATTTCAACTCCTATTCCATCTTTACAATGATTACTATTGGCTTTACAATTATCAATACTAATCATTTTACATTCTTTCTCTTCAGCATTATTTTCTTTATAATGGCAGGCAACATCATACAATTTATCAACCCCTTCAATGTCAGCAGATTTTTGGTGATAAATTAATGCCTCCTGCTCGTCCTTATCGACTCCAATTTCATGTTGATAACTGTGCTGCACAGGAAGTATTCTATCAAAATCACTCATATTGGCTGCAATTGTGCTTTCGTCCGATTTCAAGTTTTGTTTAACCATCCTTTCATCGCCATCATAGGAACTTATACCATTTTGATGGCACAGTCCGAGGTTGCATTGTCCTTTTAGATTGTCTCCTTTAGCAGAATTTTGGCAATAACTGAATGCCTTATATTTTTCTATTTCACCGCTGATTGTTTCAGGATCACGTATGTTGAAGGATTTTTGATAATAAATGAACATTTTATATTCATTCTTGTTGACATCAACTCTAGCATCTTTCAGTTTATTCGCTTCAACCCTTTTTTTGATGGACTTTACAGGTATGGCACCATTCTTTATTCACGTTGCTCCGTTCTTAAATGTCTCATTATTGATTCTTTTCTTCTTATCATTTTCGATTCGATCTTCATTTTCATAATTGTCAACTTCAAGATCAATAATTTTCATGAACCGTATGTCCATAACATTTTTTTAACATTTGCCTTTCGCTTGATCTGGGCAAGAGTAGGCCAAATGTCCGTGATGTCTACAAACGTAACATAGCCGAAGTCTGTAGCATTTTTCTTTTATCTTTTGTTTCTTCAAACTCTTCACCACTTCGACAACTAATTCCTATACCAAAATTGTGTCAACAGATTTTAATATAAATGTTGTGATTTTAGTGGTAATGATACAAAAAATTAGAATTTATTGTTTAAAATAGTTAACAATATGGAAGCATTATTTATCTGTAGTAATGCTGAAGTTTGTAGATTTAACCAATCAGTTTCATAAAGAGAAATATTCTAAATTAGAATTGAGTAATTTTTGTATATCTTTTCAAATTACTGTGATCATCAAATTTTATGTATTACATATACACCGAAATCTGGGAATCTAAGAATATAAATATAAAAAATTCTAAAATAAAAAGAATTTTTTTTCTAAATTATCACACTTTTCATACTAAAATTCAAAACTTTCTAAATTTACAATTTTTTTTTAAATAAACTAATTTCTTACCTATAAATAAAATTTTTAAAAAATTCTTTATTTCCACTTTTCTGTTC